GTTCATCGATGACGGTAATACTAAATAAAATACTATTCTGTAACATTATTTAAAATTAAACCAGATAATGTTTCCAAGTATTTTTAACACCACTTTAAAATTTTATGGAAATTTATTCATCAAGATAATCTAACATCGTCAACAGTTAGCCTATAATATTTATAATAATAATTGCTAAAACTTAGCTTGAAACTAACCGATATTGATTACAAATTACATGTTGATCACCTTACTTATGAATATAACCTTGATTAATTAAATGCTATGACATCACTTATACTGTTTTAAAATGTCTTTTATCTTTCTTCAATAACTCAAATATTCACAAAAAAATATAATATTTTTTTAAATTTATATAAATATGAAGCACATTAAGTATTTAAAAAAAGAAGAATTTAAGGTAAAAATAGAATGCCTTCCACAGGAAATTCAAAACTCGCATTCTGAGTTCTCATTCACAGTCTTCTTCTCATCTTCAGAAATTGACTAATGAGGCAGCTGACAACTCCTAGAGATGAATAGCGCAGCTCAAAAATATTAATTTAACCGCCAAATGATATAGATTTGTCACCTTTTGATAGTGAATTTTGCAGTTGTCATTTGTGTAATTACATCTTGCATTCTATTTAGCCAAAATTCTAAAAACATGAAACATGTGATCTGGAACTCTAAATTTACATAATGCATCACGTTTCTTTTGATTATGTAAAAGAAATATATTATGTAACAAATTCTAAAATGAATTTAAGTTTTTAATTAACATATATCTACTTCAACTTTTACATGGCAGCCCATGGAACAGAAATCTTTATATTTATTTGTAGGTGAGCCTATGGAGTAACGCAGTGGACTGTTTGTTAAAACACGGTTCTCAGTAGATCCCCAAAATCAAGCATCATTAATAGCTTTAATCAAACAGCGAAGGGACCAAGGATGCGTGGTATAGATCCTCAGTTAAGTGCGAGGCCGGGTTAGCCTGGTTAGCAGGGCTCTGGACTCACGCTCGTGAGAACGGGAGATCGAGCACACCCAACCGAATAACAAATAGTGATAGGCGCAAGTAAATCTGTCCTCCACAAAGTCTTCCATATTCCCATAACAAATCAATAACTCTGGAGGTACTGTATTGGAGATAGATCGTTCTTTGATTCAGATCAAAATTTCGATCAGTGAATGAATGAATCTATGAATGGGTCCGCTCTCTAAACAGGTGTGACGTATGAATGTGGCAGAAGTCGAATTTTTAGACATAGATGGCGCCACTGGAAAAAAATCGCATCCCCATTGCCATATGGCCGATGACAACAACAACAATCGTTAAATGCTTCACTGCGTCACCAATAGAGAATTCTGCAGCTCAAGTGAGGGGTGAATGACATACTAGTACTAGCAACACCATGAAAAAAAATTCTAAATTTTATATGCTAAAGTTAGACTTTTGAGGTTTCATGTTTTATACGACAAGAATATCTAATACTACAATGCATGATAAAATAACTGTACTACTAAAAGAAAGCACTTCAAATTAATTGGTGGAAAATTATTTATCTGTAAAACAATTCTAAAACAATTGAAATGAAAATGAAATGAAAACTACTTTAAAATGAATTATGATTAATTTATTGAAATAAATCAATATGAGAAATAAAATTTTTAAAAAATAGATTGGACATCAGAAAAACAAATAAAAATTTCTTACAAAATGTAAATGAAAAGAATCTAAATTTTCAGAAATTACATAATTGTGCTTCAAACTATTCGATTCACGATCCCATTCGATTCATAAAAACTAAAACAAACACAGCGAATAAAAGAAAATCTTAAAATAGCAGCAATCTTGATTCTAAATGCCAGGTACACATTAATGAAAAAAATATAAGTCCTATAACAAAAAATAGAGAGATTAAAATTTTAAGATAAAATAAGCATTAAGGTGTAATTCTCACATTTAAAAGTTTCGCACATTTCATCATGTTTCAAATTCTATGCGTACCGTAATCACATACTATTAATCTTTTCCCTTCGAAGTATGATAGTACTTGCAGTACAGGACCATCTGTTGCACCAGCCGTAAGACAACCCAATTCAAAATTTTTGATGGCTTTCCATTGATGGACCAACATAATCTTGATGGCAACCATGAATAATTCAATCACGAACCATTATATTTTTTGATGGAAACCAACATAAGTAACCATCACCCCAATGTAGGAATTCGGACTGATTTATGATGGTCCAACATAAGAATAGCAACTTGTTTTGATGGTTTGTTCATGTTGTACCATCAGAAATTTCCATCATAGATTCTTAGCAATCAACTGTTGGAACCATCATGAAGCACCATTACCCCAATGTAGGAATTCGGACTGATTTATGATGGTCGAACATAAGAATAGCAACTTGTTTTGATAGTTTGTTCATATTGAACCATCAGAAATTTCCATCATAGATTCTTAGCAATCAACTGTTGGAACCATCATGAAGCACCATTACCCCACTGTAGGAATTCGGTCTGATTTATGATTGGCCAACATAAAAAAGCAAATGGTTGTGATGGTATATTCCTGCTGAACCAACAAGATTTTGCATTAAACCGTCATGGAAATGTATTATTGTACCATTATGGACCATCACGGATCGTCATGGATTGTTGGTTCATGAGAACTAAACTTCTCTTGATGGTTAACCGTCCTAATATTAAAGTAATATTTTCCATCATGGAATGATGGAAGTTTGTTTACTTTTCAGAAACCATGAAGGCAGAATGGAAAATGTTGGATGATGGTGATCATCAAATGTTGTTGGACCATCATGAATCGCACTGAAAACAACATAAACCATCAACTTTTTTAATGGGATCATCAAGAAATTTGACTTGGGAAGAATTGAAAAACGAATTTCTCAAACCTTGCGGAAATTGCCAGTAATGTTTTTGTCTGCAAGGCCAAAATAAATTTATTTCATCCGCTGACGTACTTGTAAGCAATACTTAACAAACAAATAATCAAACCGTGCAGGAAATTTAAAACAAATAGACCGGTGTCTTTAAAAAAATTTGTAAAAGCATGAAATATTACCCCAGTATTTTTTCAATTTAAAAGTATCAAAACTACTACAACGAAACATTTAAGAATATGTGATCTTAATAGCAATACAATTTTATAGCTTCTTGTCATTTTTACGACCCAATTACCATCCAATTTTGTTTTTAAACTTCTATAAATACGTCATTAATGTTTCAAAATAAGAAGCAAATTGTTATAATGATGTTTTTTATGCTCTTTGAAATTGAAATAATTATGTACCTCAAGAGAATTATTTTTCAAAACTGTTATGTTAATGTGACAGCATGTTTCTTTTTTTAAATGTGTGGAACAAAATCGATTATATGCTTTCTTTAAGAACTCAGATCTACAGTAAAATAGAAAATTTTATTTATTATGCTAAAGTATTTCTCACGTTAATTTTCTTTTAGATGAAAGAAATCGCTTCTCAGTTTTTATAACATGTAATAATGTTTGTAAAATATTCTGTAAATGTTTATGAAAAGATATTAAAATATTTAATTCTTACAGAGTTGCTCGCATATTTCATCCATTAACTATATACGCTAGAGAAATAACTAGTTTACTTATTACGAATTTAACTAGTTTACTTATTTTACGTGAGAATGAATTTGAAATAATTTAAAACTTATATTTAATTACAAGCTGGAAAAAAAAGTATGGTGTGCCGTGATTCGAGGGGTGATACTTTATTCCTGCTAAATAATTAGTGTTGATATTTTAAGTTACAAAAGCATATTCAGAAATGTATTTTCTTTGATTGTGTCTAAACTTTTTATTTGAGGACCGGGATAGCCTGGTTGGTAGGGCACTGGGCCCATGTCGAAGGGTTCGTGGGGTTTGATCCCCGCCGGCCGAAGACTACCGGTGAAGTAAATGGTGACTGATGCACATTAAATCTGTCTAGTCGCAAAGTCCTCCATGTTCCTATAACAAATCAATACCACTGGAGATACTGATCTAAGAGTTTCCTTGTCTTCTGGATTGGTTCAAAAATTACAGGGCTACTGAGTTGCACATTAGTAGTCGTAAACCCAAAATTGGGTCGGCTGTTCAACGACGGATGTAAGATATAAGATATACTTTTTATTTGGAAGATTCAATTTTTTTAAATATTAACTCTCCGAGTAACAATCTGATTTTATTTTAACTATCTGGAAAACATTGTTGTAATGATTTGAGTCAATAGTCAAAAGTTTTTGGCACAGTTATTATTTTTTCAGATTAGTTTTGTTAAAAAGTACTGCATAATTGACTTAATTTTACTACTGTAAAGTTATCTGTGAAGTTAAAGAATTTTCAACATTTAGTGATCAAAGTTAAATGTCGTGGTATCATATATGTCTAGATTTTTTAATCAAAAATCATTCACTAAATTTTGAAGCTATTTTTGAATAATACAAAAAAAATATATAAGTATATGCAATCTGGGTTTAAATTTTGAAAATTCAAAATATAAACGAACTAAAGTAAATTTTATTTATTTGAAAACGCAAATTTAAAAACGTTATTTTTTTCGTAATTAAGATTGTAATAATATTAAACTTTACTGAATAATTATTTATTAATTTGATAACGAAAGGAATTGTTTTTACAGTTATATTAAGATTAGCATAAGCAAAAAAATGTAAAACATATTTCACCTACACAAAATAAAACACATCCCACGTTATGTTGAAGATAACAAACAAAGAATATTAATTCTTAATCTACTAACTGAATATAATTATTTTCTTTATTAAATCCTCGAGTGTTTAAAATTTATTTATAAATTTGCTGGCTCACTTAACTTTTGTGCTTTTCGATGAATTTAATATCCAGCTTTAAACCTCGCAGGAATATACCCCCTCAAATCTGTGCTTTGTTTTTAATTAAAACATTAAAATCTCTTTCATGCTGAAAGAACAAACACTTATTTCTTTTTATAAATTTCAGTTACAACAGAATCTATTCTCTTCCATCGGGTGTGTTTGACAATCTCTCAAATTTAAAAGTTCTGAGTCTCAGTAATAACTCAATCTCAACTCTTGCAGAAGAAGTATTTTCACCCGTTTGGAGACCAGATGTTCATGTTGAATTAAGAGGTAATTATTTAGTAATTATTAAGAGGTATTTATTAAATATGTTTCTTATTATAGATAATATCGTTTTACTAATTTTGAAAGCAAAGTTGATTTTTTAAAACCTAATATTATATTATCCCAATTTGTCTAGTTACAATGGTATTTATATCCTATTAAGGAAGTATTTTTAGCAGGGATAACCTGGTTGGCAAGGCACTGAACTTACGATTGTGAGAACGGGAGTTCGAATCCAGCGGGCTGAAGACTGTCCGTGCAGTACATGGCGACTGGTGCACGTTGAATCTGCTGGGTTCCAAAGTCCTTCATGTTCCCATAACAAATCAGTACCACTGGAGGTACTGTATTGGAGATTGATCGTTCTCTTGTTCGGGTCAAAATTACGATCTGTGGATGTATGAATGGGTCCGCCCTATAAATGGGTGTGATGTATGGGTGTGGCAGAAGTCGACTTCTTGGCTAAAGATAGCGCTACTGGAAAACAAGAATAATCGCAACCGATCTGCCATTATGGCCGGCGGCATCAACACTAGGAAATATTTTAGATTACGTGGAGGGAAAAGTTTCAAAAAGAATCTTAAATGTTTTTTTCTTATTTTTTGTTTATAATTCTAAAAATGTATCCAATGAAGGTGTATATTAACAAATCGGAAATTCTTATCCAGTGCTGTTAAAATTGATAATTTTTCGAAAATAAAAAAAATTGTTTTATTTTTGAAATGGAAAGTTTTTAATTGTAAGGTATGCAATTTTACATCATTTTAAAAAATACAGATTTATAAAATTTGACTGAATTTAGAAAACGTAAAATTTAAGTGAAGTCAGTCGAATAGTTCTCGAGAAGTCGAATTTTAAAAATTTGGACGTTTTTAAAATTTGATTTCTCAGGAATCACTCTACCGATTTTGTGCAAATTTTTTTGGCATGAAAGAAATAATAATTTGTTTTTAAATTGATGTAAAAAATTGTAAAAGCAAATAATTGTAAAAGAATGATGTAAATAACTGTTAAGTTATTCAGGATGGCTCATTTTCCTTCTCCCTCTTCTTTTTTCGCATTGTACATCCCAGAGTAAGGTGAATTTGACAACATTATTTAATAGTCACCCCAAAATGTAGTGGTATTTAGAATTCAGAAAATGTTATCCAAGAAATAAATTATATGGATATTGATAATTATAAATTGTAGCTGGAGCTATAATTCTTCATATTAACTTAAAGATTTAAATAAAGTGTGTTAGCTGTTGAAAGTTAATAAGGATTATTTCATAAAAAAGCGCATTGCAACAACCCTTTTTAAGGTATGCAAATGTTTGTAATAAGGTTGCAAATAAGGTATATTATAAGGTAATTCTTTTCCCTTTTTAAAGAATCGTCAGCTCCACAAAGCTTTGTAAGGTTGCAAATAAGGTATTTATAAGGTATTGTTTAAGATATACATAAGGTTGTAATAAGGTTGCAAATGTAAGGAATTGTTTGCAAATGTTTTAAGTAGTTGAAGTAAGATAGATAGTCTATGGATGCAATTATGCAATTTTGATTTCCGCTCAACTCGACAACATTGAGAAGATTTCCTGACATTATTATAAAGGCTTGCAATAAATTCCAATTAATTTTAAGTATATAAAAAATAAAATATTTACGAACTTAAAAAAATTTCTATAAACTTTATTTACAAATTTTAATTTCTTTACAGATAACCCCATTAAATGTGATTGCAAGCTGCAATGGGCAGTGACATCTTCGAGAAAACCTTTGGATATAGTTGGACAATGCGCTCACCCTAAAGCCCTCTACGGAAAACAAATCAAAGATCTAAAAGCCGAAGATTTATCTTGTTGATTCCAGCTGCTGTTTCGATGAAATATCGTTTTTAATCTAATTTCATATTTCTTCCAAAGTTAAAATTCTAATATCTACTCTTACTCACTATTTTCTTATTGTAAATACCGACGATATAGTTCTTATCCAATGCAATTAAATTTTATGAGAAAAAAAAATAAAATTGAAATATTCCCTTCTCGTATACTGTTCTACTTGTATTTTCATTTTAAATATTTCTCTATATTTCTTCAATACTATTTTTATTATCTTTTCAAAATTGATAGTTTGCATTATTAAAGTTTACCAAGAGATTATTTTAATTCTTTAACATTTCCCCCTCATATACTGTTCTACATGTGAATTTATTTGAACCCTAAGATTTTCATTATAAATATTTTTCTTCATTTTCTCTTATGTTATTTTTAATATCTTTTTCAAAAATTATTGTTTTTATTATTAAATAATACAGTTTGCCAGTAGATAACTTTAGAAGATAAAATAAGATTTAAGTTTATTGCAATCTAATCAGAAAATGAATTCAATTTACAAAAGCAGAAAAGAGACAAAGAAGTAAATGAACTATTAAAACATTATTGTAATAACATTATTGTTACAAGTTTATTGTAATAAGATGTATTTCGTAAAATAACTATATTTGTTTTCATGTCGAATTTTTTTTTTCCTTTTTGCTGCATGCAAGTGAGGTTGAACTACTCAAGAAAGCAGAAATATTGAAACCAAAAAGCATGCATAAGATCGTTGGGAATGATCAGGAAGCATATTCCTGAACGTTGGAACTTTTCTTTTTGCATTTTTTTCTCGTTTATTGAAAAAGCTCGTTCAAATCTTCCTAAATGAGTCACGAGAAAAGAAATTATTTCGAATTAAATGTTCTGTTTTTGATTCTTTCACTCTAAATATTTTTCTTATACTGTAGGTAAGGGTTGCCCAAATTAAAATGAAAAACGTAAATACCAGATAATTTCAGAATAATTCAGATGTTATTTTCATATCTAATCTGAGTTTAGTTAGCAACAACTAATCATGTCTGTTAGGGTCAAGTTTAGCATATCTTTAAGCCAGCACCCTCTGATTATTCCGAAAACGGAGCAAAACGTCAATATGGAGAAAAACCACAGTTTTGAGAAAATGAAAATGTTTAATTTTTTAATCTTTAAAAATTTACTCCAATGTTGCATTTCTGGGTTCATAAATTTTTTGTAGAAATGGAAACAAGGCATTGATTCTGATAATTTTTATCTGACTGGAAAAATGCCTCCAAATTGGAGATTTTTGAAAAAGTATAATAATTTTAGAAATATTTTAGTTTTGTGTCCGTTCTAAAGCTCCAGCTAATTCTTTACGGCAAGATACACAGTTTAAAAAATCATAGTTTTGCTTCAAGAGTTGGGCACTTAAACGGTGACTTTTTTTATTTATTTATTTTTTATTTCCATTCGCGAAAGAGCTTCAAAAAACCTTATTAATCAAACATGTGGATCGCTAAATTAACATTCCGTCATAGTACCGCTATTGCTGACTCATTTTTAACGTTTCCACTTTCATTTGGGTAACCATTATGCGAAAAAATTCAATTTATGATAAGTTTTATTCGCATGATAAACGTGAATCTTATCCTGAATTTTCTAAAAACATATGTTAGGAACTTATTTAGCTTTTCTTTCCTGTGAGCTAATTTAATAACTTAAAAACAAAATAATTGCACGCTTGTTTCTTGAAAGAGGTTTCATTTATTTGAAAGAAATAATTATAATAGAACTGACTTGTGTTTAGAATTCGATGATATGACAGCAAAGAAAAAAATTGAAAAAAAGCCATTAACAAGTAAAAAAGCTCCCTTTCAAACAAAATCATTTTTTCATTCTTCATTTAGCAAATGGTATTATACTTTGCTGGTTTTATCACCCTCGAGCTACAAAATTCTCCACAGGGACATTTTTTGTGTCAGAAAACTTCAATATAAGAAAACTTTCAAAAAAATGGAACGTAGAAGTTGTCCTTGAATATGACAAGATGCCACTGGCTACTCTGTTCCAAATACTCACCACATTTCTTTATTCTTTAGAAAACCTTTTCTAAGTTATAAAATATATATATTATTGAAGACAGGTAAATATATATATATAGATATTTGTTTAGTATATAAGGAAAAAGATACTTTTGTCAATCGTATTTAAAATATGTAGGAAAATATTTTGTAGCAGTTTAAATTTTCGTTCATGCGATCAAGCGAAAAGAAGAAAAAAAATATATTGAATATTTTGCAACAAAGGATTCCATTTTTGTTTCAGTAAATCAGAATTTTTATTCCGTTAATCAAAATCTTGAAGATCTCGTTTTAAAGGTCAGCTTTTTTCCGTAGGTAAGTGCTTCATATCTTAAGGTTGATTTTCAGAGGCTCTGTCACCACATGAAATAACACTTTTTAATTGTGAGTTAGTAACAGTTATTTAAGACTGTTAGGTTAGGGTTTTTAACTTTAGCCAGTTTCAATTTAGGCTAATTACTCTATGGAAATAACGAAAAATATCAAGGTGATCAATCAATCGATCATAATATATAGTGTCTAAATATCAATCACAATACTAATATTGTAGGAAGCGTATTTAACACGTCATGCGCACGCATATCATTGTGCACCTCCCCACGCATTGAATGTGATGGTAGCGGACGAGGCAGACGGCTTCTGCTGTTAAATAAAATGCCTTGTATGATATAATGTGTATTGTCCTGTATTAAGTGTCCTGTAATAAATGTTATTTATTAATGTAGTAGTAAAAGTACATTCTTATAGTAGTAAAAGTCATGTAAAAGTACATTCTTTGAAATGATGTAAACTATTATATCCCTTACAATTCAAAATATTTTCGATTATTATTAAATAAAATAATAAAAAAATTGCATTTACTAAAAGTAAATTTTTGCATTGAATTATTTTTGAGTAAATAAATCTTATAATTACGCTCAAAATTTTTAAATTTGCGTAATTGCTCCTTGAGATATGGTAAAATATTCAAAAAGAAAAATTAAGGGGTTTATAATTTGGAACACTCTTCTGACCAAACTATTCGAATCCTATTTCCCAAATTGCGTTAGGGATAAGAAATCCATATCCACCGATAAAAAAGTATGTTTTATTCAGAGAAAGTATGTTTTTGTGTCCGATTTCGTAATTTAATATAGACACTATTTAACCTATTTAGACCTATTAATACAGATCTATTTGAGATCATACCCTCGAAGCATTAAGATTGAGTTCCAAATCGTGATTCGGATGATTGAATTTCATATTTTGAGAATCACAAATCATAATCCGTAGGTAAAACTTTATGTTTATTCAAAGAAAGCACGTTTTACGTCTGATTCTATTACTCACAATATCGTCTGCACTAATTAACATATCTGAGGTCCTCCCCTCTAATTTTCTAGATTGAATCCGATAGATCGTGAAGATCATTAGATCAAAAGTTATTGAAGGTTGTCCGTTTTAGATTTTGTGCCCTATACTTCTTTTGACTTCATTTTTGATAAGAATTCTACAAAGCAGAAATACTGTATAGCACCAACGAAGGGTGCTTTCACTTCAAATATTTTTATTGAAGCATTTAAATATTTTGTCACACTTAATTTTATTACATTTTAATACACTATTTACGTTTATTACGTTATTTAGGCTTCTTCATATTTTGATGCATTCTAATGAACAGATAACTCTTCTTCCGTTATTAATACTAATCATGCCGAAATGCTAAACTGCTACATTTGCCAAATGTCGAATAACGTTTATTTTAAAAAATAATTGATATAAAGTCAGAATTCGAAGGAAAAAAGTGCAAATAAAATTTAAAAAACTAAATTTCATTTGAACAATTTTATCTTAAATTCTTAATAAAATTTAAAATTGGAATTAATGAAGCAAAATTATATTTTAAACTAGCTGAACATGGGATGAAAAAAAGTAAATAGTAAATAAATCAATACTGAACAACGGAATGAACTCATGCACAGAACTACAAGACAGAACGATGTAAAATACAGAACAGCAAGTTGGTTCTAACCCGTGATCTGTCTACCACTGATGATATTTTACGACCGCACTGTGGTCGGGGTGAGCCGGAAGTAGAATTCGTATCAACCCTCAGTCACGACTGGAGTTCGTACCTGGGACACCTCTTTGGAGACGAACGCTCTATCTCCTGGTCCACCACGCCTCTTTCTTTATTAGATTTTATTTTATAACCGTCGTTGAACAGCCGACCTAATTTTTGAGTTTATGACTACTAATGTTCAACACGTAGCCTTGTAATTTTAAACCCAATTCAGAAAACAAGGATCAAGTATTGAGGGAAATTTGCCTTCGTGGAGGACTTTTTGATGGAACTGCGTTACACGGAGAGGAAAGCCACGAAAACCTCACATCGTTATCCTGACGGTAAGATCACTTTCACCCATGATCTGTCTACCACTGACGATCTTTTACGTCAGCACTGTGGTCAGTGCAAGTTGGATGTGGAATTCGAATCAACCAGCCAACGCAGGGATTCGAACCTGGTTCACCTCATTGGAATGCGAATGCCCTATCCTTTGAGCCACCACGGCTCTTCCTTTATTGGATTAATCAAAGCAAGCTTTTAGTGGTTTCTTCCATCAAATAAAGGATAACCGCGTTCAGTATCATTTGGCATACATTTGAAGTAGCTCGTTGCCAGATCATAAAATTTACCACAATCAAGCAATTTTCTATAGCTCTCGAGGGACCATAAAAAACCATTTTCTGCGTTAACTATACTAAATTTGCATATCATTGGCGCAATTTTAATAGGCACCAAGCATATTAATGTAATACTTTATACCTATATTATTTTATTTGGTGCCTCTTAAAACTGCACCAACTACCTTAATAACAATTATGCCTATTACAATAATTAATTAAGCAATATTAGCTTCGGTAATACCATGGCACTTTTCTATGTTTGTCCTAAACGAATTAGTACCATTGTTTCATTAATTTTGCTTTTAGTCAATAGCCTTTTTTTTTCAGTTAGTAGCTATTAATAAAACTAATTCAGTATCATTGGCGACACTATTGATATGGCCAATTTTAATTTTCTCCAAAACGAGTTAGTATTATTTGTCCCCTAAATTTCCTTTTAATACATAGAATATTTTTTTATTCTAA